CACAGCGCATGTCAGCAACTTACCTAAGGATTGAAATACTGCAGTTCCTGAATCCCAGTACTGTGCTCTTTGGAAACTGGGGACCCCACCTCAGAGACTGCCCCCTCCCTTGGTAGAGACTCTATTCCAGAAGATGAGAATGGTAACAGCTAGGTGCCTAACCACACCATGGCCACAGAACGAAAGGCAGCGACAGGAACACAGCCAAACTCAGTGCACTTACTATAGCAGCATCTGAGAGTATTTAAGAAGACTATGCTCAAAGGCCATTGAAAAAGGGACTGTGCCAATTGCAACAGTGATGACGATTCCCAAGACAGCAGTTGAAGTTGGTGCATGTCCGACAAAGAATGAAGCCGGGAAACAAAAATCCAGAGACAGAGCGCTCGCATAGTGCCAATAGCGAATAACAACTTCCCTTTATGTAGCACCAATCTCCCAACTAAAACTGTCATACAAGCCATGCACCCACCATTGATATGGACCCACCGCCACTGTGGGACATGGCAGCTGTTTAGCAGTGCAAAGAAATGCTATGTAAAATATCAAAGGTGTATCCTGTATCTACTGGAAACCTCATGCAACTCCCTTCCTCTGGCAGGACAGTCTCCTGCGCTGCTGCAGTGAGCTCGCGGCAATTCCCTTTCCAGCTGAAATGAAAGCAGCACAAGCACTGGTGGGCTGTTTCTGATTCCACATGTCCTTTGCTGCTTCCCCAAGAGGCCCTCGGGAGGGTGAAGGGAAAGAAGATACAATAATAGAACTGGTTGATACCATTTTGTCACAGCTCTGAGGTCATTTTTAATTGTACATGACCCAGTTCTTCCCCACCGAGGTACAGCTCTAGCATGGCAACTCTCAACTACCTTGATATCTACAGCTATACCCACCCTCTGTTACCCCTGCCTTTGTAGTAATGTGGTCCTCACCATGGTACCCATCTCTTAGGGAAGAGGACGATGTTTTCCCTTTAAAAGCGATCACTTCGGAGCTTGGGCATCCCAAACACTGCCCTGGGACAGCCCCAGAAATTAGGCAGTGTTTTTCACAGAGTGATTCACGAGGAGCTGCTAAGTCACATGGTGCTGGCTCGGCCTCTTTGCTTCCAGCTGTGTCTAAAGATATCCATGCTCTTCTTTGTAAGGATGAGCCTGGTTATCTGATCGAGCTGTTGGGAAAAAAAGGGGGAGCAGCCATCCCGGCTGCTTCTACAAAGTGACACTGTTGTTCAGAAGGAAGCCACCTTCAAAATGTCATGCAGAACAAGGAAGGACAGGAAGGGAAGAGACCAGACACAGGTGCCTTTACATTGGATGGCTTCAGTACCTCTAGCAGCATTTGTTTTTATGCAAAACGAAGGAGCAAAGAGGTACACGCTCCCTCCCTTCCCGTCCAAGCCTGTCCCTCTATGAAGGTGTGGCTCCCAGATGGAAGTTCAAAAATCCCAGCTCTGGAGAATGAGCCCAAAGTCCTCCAACCCCGTCATCCTTGCACACAACTCTTTGCCCAGGGGCTAGAATAAGGACCCTTTTTTTCTGTTTAGGGCAGCAGGGGTATCTGCAAAGATACCTCCTTCCTCAGCTCCTCTGCTAAACTGCAACACAGCCTGGCACCCCCATCTCATTCTTCAATGGCACCAAGGGCAACTCTGACTTCTGTGGTGCTTATTAAGGACCCTTTGACCCACTGCTGCTCTGACGCAGGACTACTGCAACTGCTGTTGCTAAAGGTCTAATAACATTGTCACTGCAGAGGGACCAGCAGGAGAGTTCTGCAGGGAGATGACAGAACTGAATTAAAGTAGCGAGTTTAAAGTGTAAACGTGTTACCACACACACAAGTACACAATCACGTGCATGCTCCCCATAACACAGGCACACAGTATGCTCAGATGCAGGGGCACACATTTCCTGAGGCATTTGCATACTGCTACACATTGCCTGGCATGTACTGGCCTGCACACATCTCACATATGCAGGCAAAAGTGCATAAATGCACTCATGCATGTGCTCCCCTCCCCACACATATTCACTTTCCCCCACCAACCTGCTGAGAGGCACTAACATATACAAGTACATATGTAATCCCTAAGACCACATGTTCCTCACAGACACAAACACTTGCACCCAAACCCCAAAGGATATCTGCAAGCATGCACAGCCTTGTATATACACATATGGACAGACACGCTTCTGTGCACGTTCCATATGCAAACAGACACGTGTACAGACAGCCCTGTGCACTACACACTGGCATGCATATACACAAACTTATGTGCACCCACACCCAGGCTCACACTTATGCCCAATCTTGCTGTCTCCTGGTCCTGCGATAACCTACTGTAACCCTGGGTGTGCCAAAATTATTTTCCATGTCTGAAAGGGCAAAGCCTGGGACTACCTGAGCTTTCTTATACCCAGCTGGCATAAATAGAAGCTAGCAAAGCCCACTAATTATTATCAGCCCTCCAGCAGAGACCAGATCATAGACTTGGTCCTGGTATCTGGCCACAAGCAGTAGGTGTAAGACTGTAGGTGAACCTGAATCAGGGCCATAAGGCTATAACATCCCTCTGAGACCTTGGTCTAGGAAGCTGAGAGGTGATGGTCAGAGCTGTGGTAAGGAATAGTGAAAATGGCAACAATAATGGAGATTTACTGCTTCAAGCCCTATTAACTGGGCCATCTGGATACCAAACATCAGCACGACTTGATGTTGTAAATGGGTGCAGAGGCAGAGGGGAGTCTGAGCAATGGTGCAAGCAGCCTTAGCTTGGGATAACCTCCTTGGGGAGATGGTGGAAGTCCAGAGGGCTCCAACAGAGGGGGAATGTGAAACACTAAGGACATACACGTGCACGCGCGCATACAAGCAGGCTCTGCAAATGTCTGCCTGCCCTCACATACACACATCCACCTAAATGCAGGCACATATCCGTATGCATCTGCAATCACACAGGCAGGTTCTTGCACACACACACTCACACCCAGGCACAGTGCTAGCAGCTGCTGCAAAGGCGAGAAAGAGGAATGGATAGGGGAGAGGTGAAGAGGGAAAAAAGAAAGAAAAAGAAAACAAAAATAGCTTCCCATCTGCAGCACTGCCAACCCTAAGCATCCAAAATTCATGAGTCAGGCCCCTGAACAGTTATGAAATTGGCTTAAAAATAATGAGATGTTTAAACATAATACATTTGGGTTGCCTATCACCAGGGCTTGGGTATTTTGAGTCCTGAGGGGTCATATTTTCATAATTTTCTCCTCACCTAGAAGCATTAGAAAGCTCCTGTTTTTTAATGGAAGCTGCGATTCTTGTGTAATCACCTGACTCTGGGATCTGGGGATTCAAAACCAACTCCAAATATCCTGAGACTCGTGAAATCATGGAACTGCCAGCACCACGTCCTGGTGTCTGTAGAACAATCAGGAGCTGACACAGAAGCACTCGTCTCCTTAGCCCTTTTCCTTACACCTCAGGGACATCCTTGGGTGGTGCCAGGTCAGCTTCTTCCTTCCCATGTGCACAGGCACCACTTCTCTTCTCCCTAACCCTAAGTTTACACCAGTGGCACCCAACCTCTTTGCCCCAGGGGCTGGATGGCCAGTGCCAAGTCCATCTGTGGGCTAGAATGGGCAGGTGCGGTCAGGGTCCAATCTGGCATATTGGGGCAGGCGGGGCTTGGCCCCGATCCAGCTACACAACAACAGATGCAAGGGAAGTCCACCCCGGCCCCAGTCTGACCATACGGAGGGTGGGGGCCACAATCTAACCACCCAGCAATGGCCTGTGCTGAGCCAAATAAAATGTGTGACGGGCTTGGTAATTTGGCAGTGGGGGAAGGGCAGCAGCAATAATTGCCACTGCTCCCCCATCACCACATTCTCCAACCTGTGGGGAGTCCCCGCAGGCCAGATGCCATGGCGCCATGAACCGATTTTGGCCCATGGGCTGAAGGTTGAGCCATTCAGATGCTTCTGCTTCAACTGCTAGCCCTTCTTTACAGTTATTTATACGAGACCATAGTTAGGCTGCTGGGGGAACAATGGGGGAAGGACGGATTCTGGGTAATACACACCATTCTGCCATTAAAATAAAGCCAAGTAAATGGCACAAAAACCTCTTTCCTCCCAACATGGCATGCCACCCTTCAGGGCTCAACAACAGATCAGATGGAGTCATAAGATGCACAAAGCGCTGGTGGGGCAGGAACAGAACCACTGTGGCACCAAGTATGCCACAAGTAGCCTTTTCTGCAATGATGAGGCCTCCTGGACCTGCTCTGAGCTGCTGACCCAGAGGTGAAAGACTCCATATCCCACTGGCAGCCCTCGAGCCATCAAGCCTCGCTGATTTATTTGCTTTGCTGCGACTCATAAAACTCCGTGACTTTGAGGAATCCCTTCCTCTCAGATTTAAGAAGTTTACAGAGGACCCCAAGTCTTAGAGGAAAATAGGCAGTCGGGAACCAGACCAGACTGGCAGCAGGCTCTGCTCTCCCCACCCGCCAGCCTGCAGCAGGTGTGGGAGAGTTAATCACCCTCATTCTGCTTCAGCGTCAACATCCTGTTCCAGTTAAATGAGCTTTATGCAGAGTCTAAGTAGGGCTTGGAGGGTGCAGGAACCTTCCTCTCAATCCAGCAGCTTGGTGAGGAGCAAAGGCACCTCTCAGCCACGCCATGCACCCTCCTGTACAGGGGACTTAAACCTCCCCTAGTCCCACTACCAATCTCCTGTGTCTGGAACCTGTGCCGCCTGTCCGCTGGCTCCGGGAAGGACAACCCTGGTCGTACTCTCTCCCTGTGGAGACGCCTACACTCTTGCTAAGTCAGGGTTGACATTTGCCAGTGCGAGGCTGGGCCCGCAGACAGATTTCTGGTGCAAGGTCCCCTGGCCGTGGCACCACTCTTGAGCAGTGCCTCGCGGTCCGGCTGAGACCCTAATTTGGACTGGTGCCGAGCGCCCTCAACTCCAGCTGAACCAGAGAACAAGTTTGGGGTGTTCGCACCTCGCAGACGTGGGCCCCGAGAGGAAATCTGGAAGGCAGAGATTGCTGAAGCAGAGCGGGGAAGGGAGGAGAGCGCAGCGGGGTCACCCCTCAGGGCTAAACCCCTTTGTGGCAAGGCTTGAATTTGGCCCTAGCTCCACCTCCTCTTGCAGCGGGATGGATTGGGCGACCTCGGGGCTCGGGCTCTGCCCGCACCATCCCGTCGCTGTTGTACAAGCGCTGCAAATGTTTTCTGCGAGGCCTTGGTTCGCTGCGCGGGGGTGGTAGCAATGGGAGGCCGAGCCCTGACCCCAGCACAGGCCAGGGACAAGGCCGCTCTCCTCTGCTCCAGCTTTCGCCGACCTCTTTTTGTGATTGCACAGAAGCATGGGGTGTACGATCCGCCGCCTCTTCTGCTGCTGCAGCGGCGCCTGCTCAAAGGCAAAGAGTTTCAAAAAATTGGGTAGGGGAGCCAGGGGCTGGGAGCTGCCCCCCCCCCGGTCCCTTGCGGATGCCTCTCTGCCGTCCCCGCTACCTGCAAAAGGTGCGCTGGGCCTCGGGATTTAATGAGGAGCGGGCAGAGGAAGGGAGAGGGAGCAGGGCTGCCTTTCTTCGGGGTCTCTGTGGCAACGGGCTCCCGCGGGCGGGCGGGAGGGAGGGGGCCC